CTCATGGCTTGGATAAATCATGTGTTCAGTATTCTGAGTCCATTTGTGCAGGGTCTCCCACACACCACTTAGACACAACTGTAATCAAGCAGCATACAAACTGTCAAAATAATAATGAATTAAAAAATGAGAACCTGAAAGTCCCAAATCAAAATAAACATCTGCTGTAGAATGGTGCATGCCATCAGCACTGGGTTAGCTGAACGCAGGCAGCGGACAATCTCTCAAAGGGGTTGGCTGCCTGGAGGTTTCACTGAGAGAGCAGCCTGTTTGATCTCAGAAGTCATGATGAGCTTTATAGGTCATACATATAACTAGAATATAATGGTGCCCAGAGCTATGGTACAGATAACATGGGCAACATTTACCACAGCTTACTCTTCACAACAGAACAACTAAACAGGGAAATGCACCCAGGCACTGCCTCTTGGTATGGGAAGTAACCGCCATGACCGGTAGCCACTGACAGCTGTAATCCTCCAAAAAATGTGTACAATGATCATTTAAAGCCATCCAAGTTGGCAGCTGTCCGTCACCAAAGATGGTGGCAGCGAGGTCCACAATTTAACTTTGCACCATGTCCTGAATCTCCCACTATCTCTCTCATGAATACCACTAACCATTCAGCTTCACTGGGTGACCCCAGGTTTATAAAAGGCAGAGGGGGAATTCTCACTCTCCACCCCATGTTCTATTATATACGTATACCTCTTTCCCCCACCACTTTTTATTCGCCTTTTTTTAAACAAACAAATAATCATGAAACATTGTATGCCTTTCCTCACAGGAACCCCGTGATAATTTTGGCTGTCCTTTCCCTGCACCTTTTCCAGCTGTACAATATCCTTTTTAAGGTGTGGCGACCAAAACTGCCACACAGGATTCCAAGTGTGGTTTGGATATACTCGAATGCTTAGTCATCAGGGAATGGACTTCCTTGCATTTCCCAAAAACCAAGCATCCGGGTTTGCATACTTAAAGCCTGGACACTCTTTTCTTTTCTTTCTTTTAAAGAACACAGCAGTGAGGAACTGGGACTCAGCACTGAAGTGTGAACATTCACAATGAGTTCACCAGAGCCATGTGAAATATGGAATAGTCAACTGCAGAAGGCTTATAGGCAAGGGCTGACGCTCAGTGGCATGGCATGCAGAAGGCCCGAAGTTCAACCCTGGGCATCCCCATATGTGGTGTTGTTGTTGTTTAGTTCTTTAGTCGTGTCCAACTCTTCGTGACCCCATGGACCAGAGCACGCCAGGCACTCCTGTCTTCCACTGCCTCCCGCAGTTTGGTCAAACTCATGCTAGTAGCTTTGAGAACACTGTCCAACCATCTCGTCCTCTGTCGTCCCCTTCTCCTTGTGCCCTCCATCTTTCCCAACATCAGGGTCTTTTCCAGAGAGTCTTCTCTTCTCATGAGGTGGCCAAAGTACTGGAACCTCAGCTTCAGGATCTGTCCTTCCAGTGACCACTCAGGGCTGATTTCCTTAAGAATGGAGAGGTTTGATCTTCTCAAGAGTCTCCTCCAGCACCATAATTCAAAAGCATCAATTCTTCGGCGATCAGCCTTCTTTATGGTCCAGTTTTCACTTCCATACATCACTACCGGGAAAACCATAGCTGTAACTATACGGACCTTTGTTGGCAAGATGATGTCTCTGCTTTTTAAGATGCTGTCTAGGTTTGTCATTGCTTTTCTCCCAAGAAGCAGGCGTCTTTTAATTTCGTGACTGCTGTCTCCATATGTAGGGCTGGGAGAAAACCCTGCCTGGAGAAGCTGCTGCCAGTTAGTGCAGGCAATACAAGATGGCTCAATGGCCTGATTCAGTAGAAGGCAGCTTCCTATGTTCCTAAGCCATCCTATTTAAAGTCTCAGCATATGCTGATTTTGTGGTCTACGAACCAGCACTTCAGACCTCTTGGTTGTCATCCTCCAAACTAAGCAACAAAGACGCATGTCCATGCAGGCAAATGGCAGAGCCGGGAGTGAACCAGCATCTTGGATCCTTTTAGCTACCAACAGCAGAAGTGGATAATCTAGCCATCAGTCGTAGAGAACATTTGGCTGCAAAGAGCATCCGGATATTATATCCTGCCTCTTTATATAGACAGTACATGTTGAGAGCAAAAACATGCCAAGTTGGGAAAGGAAAGGGGGAGAAGAAGGTGAGAGAGAGAGGGACCGCTTAGAGCTCTGCTCAGAGTATTCAGCACAGACTGAAGCAGAGCCCAACGCTGAAAGAGCTGAATGCTGGGGTCAACGCCTGTGGTTTCAGGAACGGGAGCAGTTAGCTTTGATACTCTCGCATTTGGAATACAGAAGGCAAAATGCTCAATGCCTGCTTTTTCTGGGCTTTCTGAACTGTGACTCTACACAGGGCCCCTTTAGCTGCTTCTCAGCAGGACAGGGGGGGAAAGCATTTGCTATTTGCCTTTTCATTCCATGCAGAAGAGGCCTGGCTTCTCCCAGAGCCATTACATTTCCATTATCTATCATAATAACAGAAGTTCACCTTTTAGATAGATTTATATGCAGGATTTCAAATATGCTACTTTAAACATATGCTGATTTGAGCCATACTGGAGAGCAAGATTTTTTTATTTTATGTATAACTTTTTTATTATTTTTAAGAGAGAGCTTTCCCCTCTCTACCCTTTCCAATAGTCAACAAAGTTTATTATGCCAGCAGCAGCTTCTCTTTTATCATAGTGGCTTGGTCTCCTCCTGTCAGAAGGCATGGATAGATTTGGGGCATGCCTTCGGAATCTTCTATTATTAACATAACATTCAAAAGTCTGCTGATCAGGGAGACGTCAAAAGTAAGAATATTCTTTTATGAGCCACTTTTAAGCAACCCCTTTCATGGCCCCCACCCAAATGCCTGCGAAAGAGAGCTCTTCGCATTACCATTTCAACATTCAAATCCATCACAGACTGACATAAGAGAGTCTGGAAATGAAAGACATTCCTAGTGCAGATTGGCTGCAATGCTTGAGTCAGCTGTATGTAACCGGCTAGCAAGGGTCTAGCAGTCGGTCACCAGCAGCATATGACACCCGGACTCCGGCAAACACACCAGCTCCAGCACTTAAGATTCTGGTGACATGACCTATAAAGCAGAACACCAGGCAGCATCTCTCTGTGCATTCACAGTAGTCCCTTCGCAGACCTAGTCCTTCACATATTCATCTCAAGCTTTTAAAAAGATGCCCATGAGCCTTTTCCTGCAAGATCATCATGTGGCAAGGAGTTCCACGAGCTATATTATGCATCATGTGCGGGCGCATGCTTCCTTTCACATGGCTTAAACCAGATGCCAATCCATTTTATAAACTCCCAAGTTATTCTTTTTTCTTTTCTTTTCCAAATCTGGAGAGAATTGCAAAAGCCTCTATCAGATTTCAGGCACAGCACGTATAGGAGGATACAGTCATCTATGGGTATGTGTGCAAGGAAATCTGAGCCTTAGGAGAAGGAGAGCATTGGGTGTGGGGGCTCTGCACGCTAAACCTCATGTCATTTAATCTGGTCCTGCTAGTGGAGGGGCAGGAATAACAGCTTTGGAGCAGAGAAGATGCTTTGCAATGCATCAGTCCCTGGCACGCCTCTGCCTACAACCCTGGAGAGCCTCTGCCAGGCAGCACTATAGCCTAAGGGTAGCCAATGCGGTGCCCTCCATAAGTTTGTTGGACTACAACTCCCATCATCCCTGACCACAGGCCATGCCTGTTGGGGCTGATGGGAGCAGAAGTCCAATAACATCCAGAGGCACCGGTTTTCCCTGTGCTAGTCCTAAATAATCACCTCTTTGCTCAAAATGTTGCTTCCTCCAGATCACTGACCAGTCTACCTCCATGGCAATTCCACTACTGAACAAAGTCCATGTCACAGTTCCTGACCCAACTAGATACAGATTAAACTATTCAAGGGCCCAATCCACTTGCAATCTCCAGGCACCAAATGGTACAGAACAAGGTTGGGGGACCTTTTCTGGCCAGAGGGCTGGATCTTTATCTCCCCCCACCTGCCCCCCTCCTCCAGCAGGCCAAAGCAGACAGGTAGGTGGGGCTGTCAATCACCTGGCATGCTTTCCTCTGAAGCCCTGAGTCAATTGAACCATTGTAAGCATTATCATGCAGGGATGAGTACCAAGGGCTTGAAAATCATCCAACTCCTGGTGCTTCTCCTTCAAATGTCCACACATTTGAGGGGGTGGCTGTTTTAAAGCCCTTTGTTTGGAAGCATAGGTGATGTACACAAAGGTCTTCCAACTACATGCATTGGAAGAAGAAACATGTGAGAGGCTCCTATCCCTCTGTCAAGCTGCTGGGTGGTGGGAGCAATGCCTTACTGGGCAACTGGGAGCTTTGGGCATGATGCCATGCATGAGGTCGGGTGTAGGATGGTTGAGTGTGGCTTCCTAAAAAATGCCCTGGCAGGCCACGCCTGGCCCCTAGACTAGAGCTTCGCCACCCCTGGTACATTAACGTCCCAAGAAAAAACATTACTTACCAGCTATTGCTCCAGCTAGAAGCAGCGACCAAGGGCTCACCCGCCCATCTTCACCTGCAAAAGCAGATTTCATGTGAGCGTAACAGGGGAAGTAAATGGCAGAGAAGGGGATGTCACGGAGAAAGCATGCCTTGGCTCCCTAGGACAGGAAAACAGAACAAACAAAGAAAAGCTGCATTATGGACACAGCAAGGTAGAGGAAGCGCAGAATTAAGTTGCAGACCACAGAATCCAACCAGCTTCTTAGGCACGCTTGGTTAGGGTAGACTGTGGCTATATTGTTTTGCAGGAGCAGCCAGTGCAGTGCAGCCACCCTCAAGACACCAGCATCAGTGTTGCTTACCTGGGTGGCATAAGGCGGGGGGGGGCAGGGCAGGGGGGCAGTGGTGTCTGCACAAGTGCACTAGTGGGAGTGCAGGAGGGGCTCTGCTGGGGTGCATGGGCAACCCCAAGCTCACTACTGCTGTACTCACTATCGGTGTCTTGTTTGCCCAACATAGGACTTGAACCCACAACTTTGAGATCAAGAGTCTCACGCTCGACTGACTGAGCTATCCCAGGTGTTGTGCGAAGTCTCAAGAAAAGTTCTCACACTGTAGATTTAAGGATGTGGCCGACGCAAATGCCTACTGGCACCAGGTGCCTTGGCTGTATTTATTTATTTATTGGTACCTGCTTAAAACATTTTTGTTTAGGCAAGTCTATCCAGACATGCAGGTGTTGATGTTTTAGTTTACTGCTGGATTTAATTGTGGGGTTTTGTTTTTTTTAACATGTTTTAAGTTATGTGCTTTTACTGGTAATTTTAATATCGTATTGCTTGAAAACCGCTTAGAGGTTTTGTTACAGTAAGTGGTATATAAATTTTGCTAAATAAAAAGTAATAGAAATGCTTCCTTGGCTTATAATACTGGACCAAAATAAAAACAATTTACCCACTCTGGAAGAATGGCAGATGAAGGTGATGGACTATATGGAATTGGTGGAAATGACTGGCAGAATCCGAGACCAGGGAGAAGAGTCGGTGGAAGAAGATTGGAAGAAATTTAAAGACTATTTGCAGAAATACTGTAAAATTAATGAATGTTAAAATGATGTTGGACTGAAAATAAGTGGTTTTGGTAATAAGGTTAATAAGAATATGTAAATATTGATAGTTATATGGATGAAAATATATAGTTATAATAGGTTAAGATACAGAGTAAAGATAAATGAAAGAGGGTAAGGATTTGCTGAAAGGATTTTGTAAATGGGAATACAAAAAGGGGAGGTGTGAGGAGGTCAAGGAAATAAGTAAATGAGCCTAAAGACATTGAAAAATGGACTTTTTCTTCTTTAAAATATTTTTTCTTTTTTTTCTCTCTCTAATTTTTTAGCTATCTGTTTTTTGTATTTTGTATCATCCTTTTTTTTTCTTTTTATTCTCCTTTTTAGGTCTCTTTTTTGGTATTTTTCTTGTTAGCTTTTGTTTTTTTTTTCTCTCTATGTGTAATTTCTGGTTTAACTTTTTTTTTTAAATTCTTTAAATCTATGTTTATCGTAAAATTTCAATAAATATTTTATAAAAAATAAAAACAATAAAAACAATATCCTGAGTACCAGCATACTGGAGGATCTCAACCCCAGGTTTCAACACCTTATAGCTGACAGGAAGAAAGACTTTGCATGTGACAAAGCTTGCTGCTTGAAGGGCATGAGCAATAAAGCAAGAAGCAGAATTGGGCAGCACAGCTGCTGAGGCTCCCTGGCACTTGCCCAGATTGTATTCTCAAGATTGTGTAGGCAGACTCCATCTGCATAGCAGGCCCTTCACATTTTGCAATAATTCTATTTGTTGTAATGTGTGTGTTTCTTTGTTTCTGTTTGTTTGTTTACCGGATTGTCTTTTAAGGTTGTCAGCTGCCTTGCGGTTGGTATGGCAAGTGGCACAGAATAGTTTGTGAACAGACAAGCCAGCAAACCAGTCCTGCACAACAGCCAGGGGAAACACAGCTTCCACTTGAACTGGCAGAGCCCGACTTGCAGAGGCTTGTGGCACTGTGTAAATGGTGCACAACTGCCTTGAGAACTGCATGAGGGGAAATGCTGACTGCCTGCAACAAACTTAAAAAGTCAGTTGCCATATTGATAACACTTTGCTTTACAGGAGTGTAGTTTGTTTGCATATAGATATATAACCTGTTCTTCCTCAGGTGAGAGGAGCTATGGGCAGTTCTTCCATGAGTCCCTGAACAGGTCAGCCTAAAGATGCTCAGTGGTACAGCATCTGCTTGGCATGGGGAAAGTCTCTGATTTAATCCCTGGCATCTTCAAGGAGGGCCGGGAGAGATCTCAGTCTGAAATCGAGCCACTGACAGTCAGCAGAGTGGCTGTGGGACCTTTGGGATCATCACCGACAGGCAGAACAAGCCTTGTTGCCCACACTTTCAAAAACATGAAATCTGTGGTGGCTTTGATTTAGTTTTATACCTTGAACTATAAATGCAGCTTTTGAATCCCCGCGACGGGGTGAGCTCCTGTTGCTCAGTCCCAGCTCCTGCCAACCTAGCGGTTTGAAAGCACGTCAAACTGCAAGTAGATAAATAGGTACCGCTCTGGCGGGAAGGTAAACGGCGTTTCTGTGTGCTGCTCTGGTTCGCCAGAAGTGGCTTAGTCATGCTGGCCACCTGACCCGGAAGCTGTACGCCGGCTCCCTCGGCCAGTAAAGCGAGATGAGCGCCGCAACCCCAGAGTCTTCCATGACTGGACCTAATGGTCAGGGGTCCCTTTACCTTTACCTTTATAAATGCAGCTCAGCCACAGATAGTCAGCCTTTTTACCTTTACTTTCCCCTACGAAAAGGGTAACAGAAAAGACAACTGAAAAGCGGGCACACTTGGGATACACAGTATGCAAAGAAACCAAGCTGCACCCACACTTTTCTCCAGATGACCTATGGGGGTCACAGGCTGAGATTCTAACATGGCAGCCCTGGAATTCACAGATATTGCAACATAAGCAACGAGAACCAACGCCCGACCTGGTAGAACATATGTGAACCAAAGTGCAGACACAGCCTATTAGCGCTTGTTAACTTTGCCTCTACACAGCGCTCGTTCATTCATGTTGGCAGCGCTCATCCATTAATGCAAAGCAAAAGTGGGAACAAAATGTTGCACCGTGGACTGCTCCTGTTCAGTATTCCAGCCAGCCACGTCCTTTTCCAGGATATCTGATTCCTTTCCACACACCCCTCCAACAAAATTCTGTGCGCACTGAGCACAGTCAGTTTTCAATGTGCAGCTTCGGGGGGGGGGTGTCCCCCCTCTACTTAGGGTTTTTTACCTAAAGATTCTTCATACTTCCCTAAGTCTGCTTATACCCTCCTCTTGTGCAGGGGTGGTGCCCTTGTTGCTACATTAAGGATCCACACTCGGATAATGAGTTTAGTATTAGCATACAGAATATCAAAGAACTACAGTACTTGTGAAACTGACTCCTATTCATCTTCCCTACCTACCTCTTTATTCTCTTAGCAAACATCTACGGTTGCACTCCTGCAATCATTTGCTACAAGGGCGTAAAGCATGCCTAAGGGGCTCATAAATGCAGCGAGTCGCATTCCTAGAGACAAACACTCTTCCGGGTTCTACCGACTTGGCAGGCAACCTTGTGATTTGTTGCACTCTCTGGCAGGCAATGCTGGAGATGAGCAAGTATTCTTTCATCTCAAATATTTTCCCCAAAGGGTTGGGAAAAATATGCATTATGCCTTTTGTCACAGGAGAGTTCATTAGTCTTACTCCATTTTCCATGCTGTCACCCAGATGCTTTTTGTTTCAATTGCACTTCAAGATACTGATTAGGATCTTTCAGAGTCCTTCATGCCCTTCTCTCTCCGCCCCATCACAACCTTAAGGTTGACCAGGAGCCCCCTCTCAACACCACCCAGGTTTAACATCAAAGGAACACAGGAAGCTATTCCTGGTACACACTTTCCAAACGGGTTCAGCAGGGTCCTAGCCCAGGGCTGCGGAGCCTGTGGTCCTCCAGATGTGGTTGGACTCCAACTCCCATCAGCCTCAGCTAGTTCAGAGTGTGGTCAGGGATGCTGGGAGTTGTAGCCCAAGAACACCTGGAGGACTACAGATGTTCCCCAGCCCTGTCCTAGCCTGAGCCTATAAAGCATCCCTTTATGCTTGGGCAGGATTTTGGTTGAGAATTTCTGCATATAAAAATTGGTGCATATTGTTCTGCTTTCCAATGACAGAACAGAACTTCAGATAAAGAAATGGCAAATATACGCTTCAGTTTCTTCAAAATCATTAATGGAATTTAAGCGGCACTCTCTTCTCACTTTTACAGTAATCTCTTTCCAGAGATGGAAATAGCATACTTCTATATATATATAAAAAAGACCCTCCGGTAATATGCTTTCAGCTTTCAAGGCAGAAAATATCTGTCAAGCTTTGTTCAGCTATGTGTAAACAAAGCTGGATCAAAACTCGGATTCACTTTATTAACCACCACCTTTGGCTCCTTTCCAATATCTCAACAGTCTAAAGTTTCCCCTCGCCAACTCGGTTTTAAAGTCTGGGAAAAGCATGTTTACAGGCAGGCCTCATTTAACTGCAAGTTAATCACCTGCAACCAGCTAATGCCAATTAGGAAGGCTTTAAGGGAGAATGGCCAATGCATCCTGAAAATGCTAAGGAAACAGTTTGCTGTGAAGCAAGTTCTCGTATAGTTTTCAGTGAAACTTGCTTCCTACTTTTAAGCATGTTCCAGATTGCCAGTCTCACTGTACCTTAGTGATGTGTATGCTGTAGAAACCCCGAAATCAGCTTTAATATTAGTCCTCAGGTAAATTATGACCATCGTCTGCATGAGTTTATTCTGCCAAGCAAGACACAGCCCTGCTGGGCATGACATTTTAATTTATTGGGGTGTTTATTTATTTATTAAGGCATTCCCCCAACCCCTTTACCAGCCAGCTAATTTGACTCCTCACTGCCACATCTTTTCTCTTGGGCCTCTCTGGCCTTTAATACTGGATCGTATCTGAAGAGAACAAACCAATAGAGAAAGAGAGCTATGGGTTGTCGGGAGGTTCGGATAATCAACTCAGAGAAGTCAGAGCTGGGGCAGGTTCTTTAGCATGCTAATTCTCGCTTATTCCAGCCTTACCTGAGGTAAAAAAAAAAAAAAAAGTAGGGGGGGATCTAAATAAACTATTTCTACTACAAGGGGAGGGTAATTATACTCACAAAGGCAGCTCTGTGTCAGGGTTGGGCATAAGGAGCCAGAAGGTCTGGGAGACGCAGGCTTAACCTAGTCTCCTGCAGTGAATGCACATTGTCTCGTGTAGGGGGAAAAATGCCAGACTGGGGGGACCTTGCAGAATTCAGGACAACAGTACTGCACCTTGTCTGAGAGGGTTATTTAATGCTTCTGGCACCTGTACTTACCGCCATCCTCTCTTTTCCTACCTTACAGGTTTAGAATTTATTTGGCATGTATAATTGTTATTTTGATCCTATAGCAACAAACAATAGGCAGCATGTCATTTCTTGATCCGTTAGCATTCCTCTTGGGTTTCACGGGCAACTTAACCCTTCCGATTCGGAAGTGCAGCAAGCGTCGTCAAACACGCCCCCCCCAAAAAAACCCTTTCCTGGAAGCCCCCACCTGCTCTGCCTTCCAAAGCCCCAGGGAAAAGTTGGAGAGACTTCGGCTGACATCTTAGCACGGAAAGGTGAGTTGCTCCAAGTTTAGAATTTTAAATTATGTACAAAGCACATGAGCAAATATTGCTCCCGTAAACCAAAATAACAGTGCTAACTACGCTGAACTAGTTTTACTGAACGATACAAGTATTTTGAAACGATCTTCCCGGCTCATGTCAGGTTTGCTGCCTCAATTCCAAGGAGATAACACATCCAACTGTAAAAAGTAGTCAGCTAGGGGCTCCCACCTGCTTCCACTGAGAATCCCCCAGAGATGCTTGTTTTAGACAGGGAAAGCTCCAGCAGGGAACTGCTGAATTTTAATGTATACAGAAGTTCAGTCCTACTCATCTGGGCCTGAATGGAGACAATGGTTTCCTGTCCCATTACAGATGCTAATTTGCCCAGCATTGCTGAGATACGCTGTGTTGTCATCAAAAGTGGGGAGGGGCAGTGGCACTTACCTGGCCTCTTGGCACCATCGTGTAGCTTACTGGGAAGGAAAGGGGCAAGAAAGTGGGGGAGGTCAAGTGCAGTTCAGATACATTGGCAGGAGCACTGGATTGGCTCCAATGGGGGAGACATGCCGTGTTGACCTCCCTGCTGCCTCATCCCTCCAGTTCAGGTAAACTGCAATAACACCAGAGTGAGGAAGCCAACTAAGCTCCACTGTTCCCTCTCCCTTCCAGAAGCTCCTGGCTTTCTCCTCTCATACCTATTTTCCGTACATTCAAGCTCTAACTGAATTGCCACTTAATTCCAGCTTCTCCATTTTTTCCCTTTCCTCCCCTGTGATTAGATACCTTGCAACTGAGGATTACACTTCATGCATCTGATAGAGTGGGTTCCAGTCTATCAAAACACACAATTTATTAGACTTTAAGACCAATTTATTCGTCCATCTCAGCACCTAATTTATTAGTCTCCTTTACACGGCAACAGACTAACACAGCTACCCCACCGGAGCTTGCTTTAAAGTTGCTGAGAAAAAATTAAAATGAATTAAAATAACTTGGAGGAAAGTACAAAGGACTAAAGCTATTCAGAAAGCTGAATAAAAAGGCGTTAAAACAGGAAAAGCGACCCCATTTAATAGCTATTCCTCTAACTGGAACACCTATCATAAATAACATGATAAATTAAAAGGTTAACCTTCATGCTAACAAACATGTTCTTGTTAAATTACTAAACAAAAAATCCTAAGAATGTTGGAAAGTGTTTAATGTATTAATTTTTAAAATAAATAACACTAACAATAGGGAGTTATATTTTACTTCTGCATACTTGCCATTCTGTTCCATGGTATATAATTCAAATTGCAACAAATGCAATTCTAATGGCATTTTTTTTAAAGGTTGGTGGTTAAAAGTGGGCAGAGGAGGTAATATAACAAATAAACTTTGTCCATGAGAAGAGGCAAGTATTACAAACATTGTGATACACATTCTAACTAAGAATTATAATCTGGAAGTGACTCACAAAAGAAATAATAATAATAATAATAATAATAATAATAATAATAATAATAATTTACCCACCCTTCACCCCAAGGTCCCAGGTGGGGTTAGAACAATTAAAAGGCAAAGCTGCAAACAGTTTAAATGTAATCTACTTTCCTGTGAATCTATTTTGGCACAAATACGAAAAGATGATGAAGGTGCACAATTACAGAGAGAAATATACAGCATTTAGCTGCTCTAGTTTTATTTCTATTTTGAATTTTTAAAATATTGCTTTTAACTCTAAACCTTTAACAAATAATTTGAATGCATAATTTATTATATGTAAGCCGCTTAAGAGTTTTTTTCATAGTTAAGCATTAGTTTATAATTAAAGCTACGATTTTACCTTTCAAAAGAAAGTCACAGCCTTGAGAATGTGGAGTATTTAACACATTCCCCTCCCTTCTTATTCTGATATTATTTATTTTCTTACATTTATTTCTTAAATTTCCACCTTTCTCCTGTCATGTGTGGTGTCAGCAGGTGTGGTGGCCTGGAGACAGTATTGATGGCTGAACAGAGAGGATTGGGGGCCGAAATCTGATCCCCACTCCCCGGTCCTGAGGTCCCCCCCCCCCGCTTTGGACCATACCTTCTGTTTCTCCCTGTCCAAGCATTGCCATAATGCAAATTCAAGGGAACTATTCCATAGAAAAGACTGCAATAAGACAGCTAAAATGCTAACAAGTCAGTTGGAGGGGGGGACAGCCCACATTAATTCCCATTTATTACCATGAACGTAGGGCTCAGGGCCGTCTTTAGCACATGAGGCGCAAAGATCCGCCCAGCGCCCCCAAATTACCATATTTTCCTGTGTATTAGACGACATCATCCTGTACACGGTTAGTGGCAGGGGGGAAGCTGTGTGCCCGCCAGCCATATGGTTGGTGGGCGCACAACTCTCTCCCATGCCGCTCTGGGAGGAGAGCAATCTCCGCAGCCATGAGGGAGGGAAGCTGTGCGCCCACCAGTCATTTGGCGCCCCCCCCAAATTTGGCGCCGGGGTGCCACACACCCCTTGCACCCCCAGGTAAAGACGGCTCTGGTAGAGCTCTCCAGACTGAAAAGACACAAAATAGACAGCTCACGCACGCAAATTCCCTCGCTATCGTGGCAACAAGCAATTCTGAATAATGACTGAATAATGAAGCAACATGTACATGGAATCCCTTCGGATTTCCTTCCTTCCTTCTTCTTTTAAAGACTTCCAAATGTTTAGTATGCACATATACAACAAAGCTGGTATGTAACCAATGTTAACTCTGCTCAGATGTGTTTATATGGCAAGCCAAAGTATTAGCAGTAGCCATAGCTACTTTTTTGAATGGGTGAGTGTTTCCTTGACTTACCGCTAATGGGAGGGAAAGCATCCACTAGTGGCACTAGCTCTTGTATTGGCAGAGTGGTTTCACCATCACCACACAGGGAAGCAAATAGCTCAGTATGGAGAGCATGAGACTCTTAATTTCATCATGGTGGGTTCGAGCCCCATGTTGGGCTAAAGATTCCTGCATTGTAGGGGGTTGGACAAGATGGCCCTCGGGTCCCTTCCAACTCTACCATTATATGATTCTATAGCATGGCCCACCATCTAAACAAGACTTCCAACCTTATTCCCCCTAACAATAGGTAGAATTTTAATGTCACACTAGGGCTAAGAAAAGCATGCAACTACAAAAATATCTTTTTGGAGGGGGGGGGGATATGGACAACATTTAACTAGAATGCAGCTATTAGGATGAGTTGTAAGGTATCAAACAATATTTAGGAACAATTCCAGGATCAAGCAAGAAGTAACACACAAATGCATGCAACAGTAGTTCACATGTTTTTCATGAACTGTTTGGTTTTTTTGGTGGGGGGCAAATGGGAGCAGTAAAGTAGTTGGAGGGAAAGGGCCCTCAACTGACTCCCATTCTGCTGCTCTCACAGTCTAGCTCCCCTCCCCAACAGTATTGTACATGTGTGTGTCTAAGGGAAACAACCTTGCAAGTCCAGAAGATAAAGTTTCCTAACTTCCCCTAATTGCACAGCAACCTGGCTCGGTCAGATTGGCCAGAACTTCCAAGGCATCACAGCAGCTAAACCAATGGCAGCTACAGAAATGGTGACCTCATCAGCTGGGGCTCCCTGGCAAAGAGGTAACAAAGGACTACTGTGACACCACAGCAGATCAACATGGTGTTGCTCAGAGACTAGGCGATTGCTTCTAAATAACAGTGTTTAGAATTGAGACGTATATTGGCTTAGGTCCAAGGAACAGGAGAATGCAGAAGCACACGAGGACATTGCTTGATGACGTTCAAGGTCTAGTTGCTGTGCTGATGGGCCCTGAGGTACTCTAGAATTAAGACCTTTAAGCCACGTGAGCCTGACAGAAATTTCAAATAAACTTTAGCAGCTTTTGCTACAGGGACTGAGGTTTCTTTCATTGTATTTTTGGGCACCGATGTTTCTTTGTTTTTGGATACTGTTAAAAAACATGCCACTTTCTAACTATTGAAAAGAGCGAGTTTCAAACAACAGTTTAAATAGCATATTCTCTTCCATTGACAACCAAGATGTATTTACCTTGTAGAGGCCAAAAAATCCCAGGTCCCGCAGTACAGTAAGGGCACTAACGCGTGGACCCGTCGTGATCTCTCCAGCCACTTGCAAGCGGATCTTGACAATTTCCAGTGGGTTTGTGAAAATCACTTGAGATGCTCCGGCCTGGAGTGGGAAAAAGAAAACACATGAGTGGCACTGTGAACATGTCCTCGCTGTGAAGTACAGAAAGGAAGAACTCTCCAAATGCTCCTGGCACAGGGTCTCCATGTACTTCAATGGTGCCTTCACAAGGATAGGGGTGAATTGAGGTGATACAGCGGCATTGCTTTCCGAACTGCAGTGAAAAATGCACTGGTGTTAAATATGCATTTTAATTGCAATTGATTTATGGACTGAAAGCTGCTGGTCTGTTAAACACAATGAGCTAAACAACCCTTAGATAAACATATGCCACTGTAACGTGACCTCCGTACAGCTTTGCTTAAAAAGAAGTCAGTAACATCTATTTCCATGATTCTGGAAGGCTAGGAGTAGAGTAAAGCTAGCCGTAGACATTTCAAGGCTGAATTATTAACTAAATAGAAGAAATGAAATCTGCCTGGCAGCATCTATCACAGTCTACTAGAGAAGGAAATCTGGCAGAATCTTTCTCTCTCTCCCTGTTTTGGCTCCCGTACAGAAAGTGCTGTGGAACATATGTATTTACAACAACTAATTTCCTCTGCTTTAAAAAAGTTACTGAACTGAAAGTTTGTATATCCTCAAATGGCATCTTACTCAGTTGCTGCTAATCTGATGTGAACATCCTTTCTCTATGCAAAAGGCAGTCCTACTTTATTCAACTCGCTCCAGAGAGCACTAGAACTCAAGCAGGAAACCAAGAGTTTCTTTAACAACTCGGTAGCTTACTTTCATTTGTTTTTTTAAGAAACCTTGGGTAAGGATGATGTGGCCATTTGCTTAACGCAGTTAGTCACGAGAACTGCCAACAGCCCGTTAAAACAACAATACTTAAGCAGACAAAAGTGCATCACTAATAAAGCTAATCCTACGTATGACAACTAGGAAAAGCTTGGAAGATTTGGGATGTAAACCAGTCATCCTGGAAGAAAAAGAAAACAACCCTCTTCTCCCTCAAACCCAGCCATCTCTGGGAAAGTAAGGCATCAGGTTAGTTCAGCCCCTGAACTGGAATGCTGTGATTTCCAGGGCTGGACACCTGGGGAATGCAAGTCTCTGAGGTTGGTATACAAAAGGGGCTCCTGGACCCAGTGGATCAGTATTTTTTTTCCTTTTGTTTTCCTTGCAAATACATCCCTGCACAGCAGCAAATCCTCAAGCTCTGTCGCGGTGAGCCAGGATATAAGGCACGAAACCATTTTTCAAAATGTCCCCCAGAGTAATTGAGAGGAAGCAGAAGATGATGGATTGTTTACCTGCCTGTGCCCACTCTTGGCCAGAGGCCACAGAGGGAAGAAAACCAGAAGGGCAACAGAGGGAGCCGGACTCTGATGAAACTCCTGTGTCACACGCAAGTGCCTCTGGAGGTTTCCTGCGCTGGTTTTGCCTGCACTCATACTCCCGGGGCTACACTGCTATGCTTGCCAACGATAGCAGACAATGTTGTATTAAATGTGCTAGTGTGGGAAGAATGCTGAGAAGTATGCTGTATCTGTTCTGCTGTGCCATCCCCATAGCGCATGGGGCCTCACAGGCATTTTCTCAAAAACACATGGAGGGAATCTGACGCAGATGGATTATGTTAACAAGGCAAGGATGACAGTTCAAGTCTTAAAGCCCTTTGAAATCAATGGTACTACTCGGGGTTATTAGAGGCCAAATCATTAGTTTCTGATCTCCAGCCAAAAAACCAACTCCAAGTCCAGCCTGGGCATTCCTCTAGTATTTTCCACAATTGATATGCGATTAGCCATTTCCTTCTATTTATTTTAATGAGCTGCAACTGTGGATACCATGCCTATACTGAAATAATTAAGACGAGAATGATATCCCTCCCGAAGTTTCAGAAACGGGCTGCTAAGCGGCTTTGAAAATCTGCATTATTTTAAAATGCAGGTTTGGTGTGTGAAATACCACCAAGCTTGTTGGAAAGTGGCAGCCTTTGCAAGCTGCGTTTAAATAATGAAACAAATGATGGAGGCTCTTAAGTATGCCAGACGGAGAGCAAATTGCGCGAAAGCTCTGAACTGCGGCCCCTTTCCAACGAAAAGTCTGGGAACTCTGAAATCCTACCACAGTGAAAGTGCAGATAGGGGGATGCTTAGTGGGAGATCGTATATTCTGCATGTAAAAGCCCAGCCCACCCCCACCCTGTTTCTTCTGTTTGAAATCCTGGAGAGACATTGCCAAGGACAGTGGACAATACTGAGCTAGTATTTTCCATTCCCAGGTTATCAATGTATATCATCTCAATGGAGCTGCCAACTGCTGGGCGCTTCTGGTGACAAGGAAAAACACACCTCTTTGTTACAGCTTTTTCTGATAGTTAAGACCAGCCCCTGTCTACTCTTGCGGATGTAAACTGGTGTTTACACCTGCTTTGCATACAGAAGGTCCCAGACACAGCTGGCAGCAAACCCTGTCTGAAACCCTGCAGAACTGCTGCCAGCCAGAGTAGACAATACTGCGCTAGATGGGCGTAATGCTCTGACTCAGTATAAGGAAGCTTCCGATAACACAATGATCGATATGGGGTGGTATTCACACTAGTCTTACTCCAAGCAGACACCATGAAGTCAAGGGGCATTCCTTTCAACGGGTCCACTCTGAGTGGGACTAAGCTAAAGCAACTTGTGGCTTTATTTATTTATATTTCGAAGTTTCATTGTTTTGCCTGGCAGCGGCAAAGTATCAAATCTGAACACATTTGCTTAATATATGCAATTTCAGTGTTCACCCCATCACTAAGTTTCACCTGCGCTTCAAGTACATGGCTAGCTGAGGTCTGCACATGGCATTCCATCAGTGGCACTGACTCTGTTCATGTGTTTGTGACCAAGCAACATGATGGTGCCTGAGGAGGTATTTTTTTAATTATCAAAAGCAACATGCACAGTAATGGTGAAGAGGAAACAGTTATAAATATACCCAGCCACTCTTATTCTACCATCGGTAGACTGAAGTTTTGGAAGGCTTCCACAACAATTTCACACTGAAGTATGAAATAGTACCTCGGGTTAAGAACTTTGCTTCAGGATGAGAACAGAAATTGTGCAGCGGCAGTGCGGCAGCAATGGGAGGCCCCATTAGCTGAAGTGGTACCTCAGGTTAAGAACGGACCTTCAGAACGAATTAAGTTCTTAACCCAAGGTACCACTGTACTACCAATGCATTGGCAGGTTTTTTTTGTTTGTTGCCTTTATATCCTACCTTTCCTCCAAAGAGTTCAACGTGCCATACATGGGTCCCCCCCCAAAAAACTACACAACAACCCTGTGAGGTAGGCTGAGGGACAGTGACTGGTCCAAAATCACTCTGGAGGCATATGCATGTGAATGCCACAGCCTAACCAACGGTGGTAAATTTGCTTCTATCAATGCTGTGAAGTTAGAGCAAGAATTGGAAAACTGTGAACCTCCAGATGTTATGGGACTCCCACTATTCCTACTTATTGGCCATGCTGCCTGAGTTAAAGTTGAGGGTCACAGGGTCCCCAGCCCAGAGCCAGGAGGTTGGGTCTGAATCAGGACCTAATCCCTACTCAACGAGGAAGCTTACTAGGTGGCCCAGGGCAAGCCAAGATCTGTCAGCCCTAACCTACCTCACAGATTGCTGAGAGGCTTCCGAGGAGCTTCTAGAGGAGCAGCGGGATCAGAATGTTATACTCGCAAGCAAACAAACAAAAGAAAAGGGGTTTATGTCATGGCTGTCTGCAGGAATTTAAAGCCCTCCTGTGCAAAAACATTGCTGCTTCAGAGCCCTCAGCGACA